AGTGGATGCCATGCCCTGTGGAAAGGGATCAGCAATAGGGGGAGGCCGAAAACCAGAACATAGTAGTAAGAAAGTACGCTCAGTGTCCCCATGTGAAGAGTGGGCCGGAGAGGCTAGAGCAGGCCCGCTCCCAGACACTGAAACTAAGTTTGTATCTCGACCAGAACAGGAACGGGGTGTAGCAGTCGTCTTGTTAGTCACAGTTGTTGGATGAAAGGCCACTGTCCAAAATTAACCAACCACGAAGGAAAAAGAACAATACACAAGAAAAATCTACCATGTCAAGCGGGTCATGGCCAGTCAGACTCGACAGAGAGAAATTGAAAATTCACAGCTAAAGCAGGGAAGACCAGGCAGCAACCACGTGCAAGGTACAGTGCTGCACAAGGGAAAGAGACCATGAATAATTGGCCAAACAGTATTCTCTCATGCAGTAGACTTCCACTGTAATGCGCCGAGATCAGCCCCTATTCGTCGGCATAAGGGACAACTCGAATGCACTCCAACCGAAGGTAAGCGTGAATGTGCGCGATATGTTGCTCGATACTCGAAGCAGCCCATAGGGTGAGATGTGCTCACTGGAAAACCCCTGCAAATAATGGCGAACACTAACTGGAAAGCCGAGCCAACCACAGGGTGCCGAGTCACGCCCCGAGCTGTCTGCTTAAAGGGGGTGTACTCACACGCACTCCAACCGTAGGGGAGCAGAGGTGGGCCAGACATGTTGCTTGATACTTGAAGCAGCCCATAAGGTGAGACGTGCTAACCAGAAAAACCCCTGCTGGTGAGGGTGAGCTAACAGTGGGGAGCCGAGCCAACTGTGGGGTGCCAAGTCATGCCATGAGCTGTATGTGGAAAGGGCGTACTCGCACACGCTCCAAACGTAGGGGGACGGAAGCAGACCACACATGTTGCTCGATGAGGCTAGTGGGGTGGGACTAGCTCACTGGAGAAATCCCAGCACTATGGCAATACTGAGGTCTGTTACAGTATGCTTTGAGCTGCCCGAGCGCTCGCACAAATGGCAAACTCAGCTACACTCCCAAAGGCAGTAGTGGAGCATAGGGGCCAGTCATGCTCGGAGCTCGACGAAGGCCTGCAGGGAAAGCTATGCTCTATATGGCACAACGAGGTCTGTTACAGTGTGCCGAGCTTTGAGTAGCCCGAGCAGCCCCTCGCATGGCAGACTCAACTTTGCTCCCGAAGGCAGTAGTGGAGTGGAATCGGATCGGAGATACCGGATCTCAGGGTCTGCGGGCGCGCAGCGTAAGTACCAGATACCACACCAGTACACGGTGGTTTAAACCATACTTGACCCAGTAGATATTGGGACAATGAAGGGTCCAAATTCCTAAAAACTATATCAAACATGCTTGAACATCATTTCCAAATACAGAAAACTAGGTTGAAAAGATTTAAACCAGAGAATTCATCGAAATGGTCAAAAACTGGAGCCAAATCTGAAAGAGGGCGCTAATTATGCATAGCGGCATCCATTGTGGAAATCATCTGTAAATAGCCTCATGCCAACATCAACAGTTTTTCTCTTTTTGGCATGTAAAACAAAGTAACTGAGTTTGGGATACTACATTTTCCAGAGCTTCTACTCACAACTCATCTAATATCACGCCCGTTTGCAAGGTCCCACTTCATCTAGGGGATTAACTCTCGGGTGAGTGCGAACATCAGCTTCAGCCTTTTTGGGCAAGCTTCTGCAACAGTAATTGATGATGTGTCATTTGTTTTGGATATGGCTCTTTCTCAACAAATAAAAATGATTCATCAAAGAAAATTTCTTGAATGCTAAAGAGGTAGTGATTTGTTCAATTTCACACATTTCTCCCTCAGTGCGTTTAGTTGCTTGGAAATGTACAGTTCCGTGAACTTTCCCTTTAGGCTGTAGTCTGCTATAATTTTTCCAACTATGGTTGTAGTCTGGCCTCTTGTAGTACCGATCCATCCTGCCTTTAGGTACACTATTTATTCCAGATCTCATTGTTACAGAGTTCCATCTTCCTTGTCATTCAAGACAGAGAAATGTAAAATTTGTAGCTTTGCAAATTGAGGGGTTCTTACATCACAATTACAGCTCAATTACCTTTTGTCTGTGTGTTTTTTTTGAGGGGGGGTTTGACTGGACAAAAATCAGTCCAAGATGAAAGTACCTGTGTATCTGGCTTCCCCTGAGAAAACACGTCTGGTTGGCTAAAATAGTTTTTATCCTTTTCTCTCTGCTCAATCAAAACAGCATGTTACCTTTACCAGCACCCAGTCGCAAATCCTCAACAGGCAATAGTAGGCTCTAGTTTTTATACAGAGTGACCAACCCAGTTTTCAAAAGAAGGAATGTAAGGGAGTGGCCCTCCATTCTCTGGTGATACAAGATAATTCAAATGTAAATGACTAATCTACAGACTGCACACTGAGCTCTGCTCAAGCCTATCCCACTTAACAAAAGAGTCCTGGTTAAGAAAAGAACAAGCCAAATTTTCAGCATGCAATGAGCCATGAGCAAACACACCAAAGGTATTCTAATTAGACATCAAAAAGGCTTTTCGTTACAATATCCAAATATGAAGAACAAGAAATGCCGAAATGTTCGGCAATAAGAAAACAAGTAAATATCACAGAATAATGAGACAA